GCTTGCAGGCCAGAGCAGGTAGCATTGGCATTATTCTGAGACACAGCAGCAAGGACAGCCTTGAAAGCCAGCACTTGGTGGTGGTGACAGTTGTAGGCTATTCTGGGAAGGAGGAGGCTTTGTTTTTCAAAGCTTCTGTACTCCTAGATTTAACTCTGGCTTTGGTCAACCTGGAGGCACTTTGGCCTTTGATACAGAGAGAACAGTGTCAGGTACAGTAGAAAGAACACAGTACCATCCCCATTTTATTGGTAAAAGCAAGTATTTTCCCTTAGATAAAGCTTGTCTTCACTTTAGAAGTTTACTGTGCTGATTTTGAAAAACTCTAATTTACCTGGTAGTTTGGGAATGGTTTTTTGAACTAATAAGTCCATATTTCCATTGGAGAACTTTAAAACAGATTTTTGTTTTAACTTTAGTAATATTCTTGTGTGTGTTTAGGAATACAAAATAGGAAGAAAGTTATTTCCAGAGTTAAAAGTAAACAAGTTCCCCATCATTGTCATGGTTAACACTCAAAGATTGTTTAGCTTCATTCCCAAGAAAAGGGATGAGCTCTTGTCTGGAGAGTTAGTTTAGCTCTGGGCAGAGGCATGGTCTGGATGGGGTTTTACAGGCAGGGAGTCTGCTCATGCACCATGCTGCAGTCGTGAGTCAGCAGCACAGCTGCATATGGAGTGGGCAGAGGACATCTAAATTTAGTTGGTATTCACTTGAGAAGACTTCAGGAGCCATCCGACTCTCATGCATGCGTTAGTCCTCCTGGAAGCCAAGGGGGGAGGTGTGTGAAGAAGAGGCAGTGTCAGTCCAGGTCTTCAGGACAGCACTCCTGTCGCCCTGTTGATTGCTCATGAGGATTCTTTTCCAGTTCAGTCATGGCACACACTATTTTATGCATGTAACTCCTGAATTTAAGAATCCACAGTACTATGAAAATTAGAGAATTTTTGAAGTTAGATATACAAACTCTCAAATCTGGCTAGTTGAGAGACATTTTTAATCTAATTACCCCTTATCACAGGTGAGGGCTGTGATAAGTGAGGATTAAATACATTTTGTGTGTGTGTCTTTTTCCTAGTGAAGTTGCTATTTGTTAAAGTATTGGCTTAAAAACAATGGCAAGAACTGTTCTAAAACTCTCTGAGATGGATGGTATTCCCAGTGGATGAGTATACTGATGCTTTGCTTACCCCATTCAAGGTCATATGCATTGGTAGAACCCTGTTCTCTTTGACTGTAAGACCTGATGCTTTTCACAGTATATTGTTGTCCACTTTCTGGAGAGGGTGGGAAATTATTTGAAGAGTTGAACTACTTTATTTTCTCTAAAATTTACTTTCTCTTCAGAAACTGTTGATTTGCTAAGTTACACACATGCAAAAAAAAGTTTTTTAAAATATCTGTGCTCATATGGTTATAGCATTATTTTTATTAAAGTATATGAAGAAAATTGAGTCTTGATAGATAAATATTTGGGAAAGTTGACAGTATTTTACCATACTATTTAGACAATTATAGATGTACCTGTTCTTAAACAGTATACCAAAACTCCAACAAGTGATAGTTTTGTTGTTGTTTTGTTTTTTTTTCTTTCTTTTTTGAGGTAACTTTTCTATCCTAGCTTGTTTCTCAATTGCTGTGACAAAATATGCTGACCATACCAACTTGAGGAGGAAAGGGTTTATTTTATATTACATCTCACGGGTTACAGTTCATCAGGGAACACAAGGTAGGAACTCAGGGCAGGAACCTGGAAGCAGGAGCTGGAGCACAGGCCATGGAGGAATGCTGCTTACTGGCTTGCTCCCCTGGCCTCTGCTCAGCCTGCTTTCTTAAGCAACACAGGCCCACCTGCCCAGGGGTGGGACCACCCACAGTGGGCTGGGCCCTCCCACATCACTCAACAATCAAGATGATGCCCCACAGACATGGCCACAGGTCAGTCCTATGGAGGAAATTCCCCAGTTGAGGCTTCCTCAACCCAGGTGTGTCAAGTTGGTACTAAAGCTATCCAGCACAATCTGTATCCTAGGTGGGCTTTGAATTTGCTTTCTAGCCAAGCATGACTTTGAACTCCTGATCCTTCTGCCTCTACCTCCCAAGTGCTGGGATTACAGGTAAGCACTACCTTACATAGTATATGCAGTGCTAGGAATTAGCCCCAGGGCTTTGTGAGTACTAGGCAAGCACTCTGCCAACTGAGCTATATCCCCAACCCCATTAGCAGTTTCTTAAATGTTAGTTGGAAATGGAAATTGAAATCCTATCACTGCACTATCTTACTCTGTTACATTAAAATCCAATAATCTGAATAAATCTTTTACTCATGCTTGATTTTCTAACACTATGCATTTGGTTATTTGGAAAATACAGGTTCAGTGAGTTATGCGGGTCTTGCATATATAAACATATTTTATTATACAGTATCAGCCAATCATACTTATAGATAGTTGTAATGTAAGTATCAGAAGAGTATCAAGAAATTGTCAAGCAGCAACTCTAGGCAGTGGCTGTGCTTCCTCAAATTATAATCAAATTTAATAACAACTTACTTCGTTCACTTCTGAGTCTGAATAACGACAAATTTTCCATCAGTTATTGTTTTGAGTATAAGTAGGATCTTGTAGAAAGATGACTAGTTCATCTTGCAACTCAGCTGACTGCAGAAGTGCTTTACCTAGAAGCAACCATCATACTGTGGGCACAGCAGTGCTGCAAATATATGCTTTATTTTTTCACACAGCATACTCAAGAAACTTACCCTAGCCAGGAATGCTGGTACTCCTTTAGTCCCAGAGACAGAGGCAGGCAGATCTCTGTGAGTTCAAGCCCAGCCTGGTCTACACGGTCATTTCCAGCTAGCTGAGTCTACAGGGAGCCTACAGGGAGGCCCCGTCAAAAAAAAAAAAAAAAAGTATCCTTGAATACTTAGATTTAATAAAATTTATAATCTTTATTACTTCATCAAAGTCATTCTCAAATTGAATGATCTCTTTTGATGTAGTTGCTTTGATTTATGTTAAGGCAGAAGTTTTACCCACCACTGCTTTGATGTCATTAATGCACATGTTAACACAATAAAAAGGCAAGTAATTTCTTAATATTATTGAGAAAACAATTCTATTTGGTTAATAGATTCTTTTAAAAATTTTTTTTATTATTTTATGTGTATGCATGTATTGCCTGCGTGTAAGTAAGTGCACTTGTATTGTGCAATGCCCGCAGAGGTCAGAAGAAACTGTCAGATCCCCTGGGACTGGAGTTACAGACAGTTGTTAGTTGCCATGTGGGTGCTGGGATTCAAACCCAGGTCTTGTTCTTAACCGCTGAGCCATATCTCCAGCCCCGGTTAATGGATTCTTTTTTAGCTAATGTTTTAACTATTCATTTGAAATTTGAAGGAGGGAATTTTAGGCAAGTTTTCTTATTTATTATATATATATATTTGAGACAGTGTCTTATCATAACTCAGGTTGGCCTTGGACTTGTGACAGTACTCCTGCCTCAGTCTCCCAAGTGCTGAGATTACAGGCATTCACCATCATACTGGGTCATAGCAAGTTTTTAAAAAATAATCTAATTTGCTTCTAGGTTCTGAATTTTTCTATTAGGGAACTATCTAAGCCTAATAATTACCTTTGTCAACTATTTCCTTTTTGCTCTGTATGTTAAGATAGTTTTTTTCTTTTTCTCCTCCTCCATCGATTTGTGTGTGTGTGTGTGTGTGCGTGTGTGTGTGTGTGTGTGTAAGCCAGAGGACAGTCTTAGGTGTTATTCCTTGAGTGCTGTCCACTTTTATTTTTGGGCAGAGTCTCTCACTGGCTTGGAGCTCACTGAGTAGGAATGGTTGACTGGCCAGTGAGCCCCAGGGATCTGCCCGTCTTTGCTTCCCATCTCTGGGATTACAAACACATGCTATCATGCTCAACTTTTTTACATGGGTTCTGGTGATTGAACTTAGGTCCCTGCAAGGCAAGTAATTTACCAGCTAAACTATTTCCCCAGTCTTATTTTTTTGTTGTTGTTTTTGTCTGTTTTGAGATAGGGTGTCATTATGTAACCCAAACTGACCTCACTTTTGAGAGCATCCTGCTTCAGCCTCCTAAGTGTGTACATTACCATGCCCAGCTCAAACCACATTTCATTGTTTGTGACTATTTCTTTTAGGCTTATTGTAGTTCTAAAAACCTTTATTGAATGTCCCTCTGTGTTTTTCCCTAATTCTGGTATGAAAGCAGGGAAGGGTGTCTATCTGTAATTGCAAATGTAACTTCCCACATTGTTTGAAGCCATTCAGGAAATATATGAAAAGGAATTACTTATTTCTTCCATTTGAAATGGTCCCCCTACCCTTTCTCTCTGAAGGAGGCTTTAGCAATCCTAGAGTTTTAAACTATAATTTTCCTCTGAAAAAATTAAATTTGATTCTTTGTGATAATTTCTTAATTCATAAGCAAAGTAGTACTTATCACATTTTTAGCACACTCTCCTTTTTTATATAAGGAGATTTATAATAAAATGATGAGTAGCTTACCCATTTACAGCACTTTAGAAATCATTTTTGGGACTAGGGAGATGGCTCAGTAAGGTTAAGAACATTGGCTCCTTTTGCAGAAGACCTGGGTTCCATTCCCAGAACTCATATGGTGGCTAACAACTGTCCAGTTCCAGAGCATCTGATGCCTCTTTTGATCTCCATGGACATTGCATGCACTGGTGAACTTACATGCTGACAAGGCACTCATACACATAAAATTTTAAAAAATTGTTAGAAGAAACTATTTTCACCATTAATCCTATTAAATATGGCTAGTACTATACATCGTAGTCCTAATAGTATTTCTAAGCTTAAGAGTAATATTTTAGATACTTAACTATGAAAAGAATGAAAAGTAACATCATTAGAACTACTGGCCATTGTCATTGTCCAGAACAGTGTCTGGTACATAGTAGAACTCAATAAATACTTGTTGAATGAATCAATGGGCTTTTCTTTTCAGGCCTGTATTGATGAAAACTTGGATATGGTGAAGTTTCTGGTGGAGAACAGAGCCAATGTAAATCAGCAAGACAACGAGGGCTGGACACCCCTGCATGCAGCAGCATCCTGTGGTTATCTCAACATCGCAGAGTGAGTGAACTTCTGTTGTGTGTTTGGCAGGAAGCGCTGTCATTTCTCCTCTGCTTATCAGAATATGGCTTTCACAAACAGTTATAATCTCGATATAAGTGATAAATTATAAAAGAAGAAAGTTGGTTTTAAAGAGGTAATGGATACTATATATACATGGTTAGTAAACGCACAATTGTTAGTTGAATTTTTTGTTTGCTTTTGTTTTCATGTAATTTATCTTTGCTGGAATATGCAGAGGGAGCATCTGTCTGGTATGCTATATGGTTCATTTCTGAACAGTTGTACAGAACCTAAAGGGAGATTTTTATTTTCTTCCAGACATCTTTGTAAACCTATTTCTAAAATGAATTTTACTGTAGTTAATAACAAAAGAAAGAACCTAAACATGTGGGACCAAGGCAAGGTAGCAACTGGCATATGTCGTTCACATAGGGTTGAATGGATAGGTTTGAAATGATATGTTAGTAGCAGTGAACCTCAGTGGCCACATATTGCCCTCCCTTGGGTAGAGGAATCCTGAGCACATAGTACTGAGACAGAGGAAGCGTGAAATGAGTCTGTTGTCTGACACAATCACCAGGTTTCCACTTCTAGTTAGGAAAGAAACTGACAGTTGAAGCATCTTTAAAATTTGCAGGGCAAATTTAGATTGATAAGTAAATTTCCCAATCCAGCTAGTCTGTGGTTTTTAGAAAATCAGATTGGGTATTTAAGTCTTATTCAATAATATGATTAGGATTTAATATAGTTTTTTCTTATTCAGCAAACATAAGGCTGCCATGTAGAAGCCTGAAAACCTCATTTGCCCAGATTTCCTGGGGGATAGTTGAGTTGCTAGGTCTGCTTTTGAGTGTGGGATGCTCAGCTAGAGAAGGTAAACACAGGGAGACTCAGGGCCAGAGACACCTTGGTTATCAGCAAGGTGCTAGGCTAGGCTGCTTAAGAAGGGAGATGGCTGGATAGGTCTCAAAGCCAGGACAGCTGCATAGTACAGGTTTGTTTGTTTTTCATTCCTCACTCTGTTGTAAGTTAGTGAAAATCCATAACATCTTCATCATCCAGGATGCCCCCATTTCAGGTTCATAGAAAAGACTCTTGAGTCTCAGCTTTACACACTGATGCCAGTGTAGTGATGCTTAGGGGTTAAGATGCTTCTTTGTCCACTTTGGACTTACATTTATGTAAGAAATGTAAGCCATATTGGCTTCTATTATTTGTATTTGAGTGTGTGTTCAGGTTGCATGTTTGTGATATTTGAGCTATAAAATCTCATTTACATTCAAGGATTCAGTTTTCCTCATTTTTAAAAATTGTTCCCTTTTTTTAAAGAATATTTTATTATTTTTATTTTATGTGTATACATGTATTGCCTGCATGTAGGTAATTGCACCCATGTTGTGTAGTGCCCAAGTAGGACAGAAGAGGCTGCCAGATCCCCTGGAACTGGAATTACAGACAGTTGTTAGCTGCTATGTGGCTGGGATTTGGACCCTGGTCTTCTGCAAGAACAGCCACTGTTCTTAACTGCTGAGCCATCTCTCCAGCCCCTTTAATTGTTCTAAGGACAGCTGACACTTAAAATTAGGGTAGTTGGTGGTGTTGTCTTTCTGTGAAGCTGAATATAAACAATGCTTTTTAGCATGCCTTTGAGTCCAGGACTAGGAAGGCAGAGGCAGGCAGATCTCTGTGAGTTCAAGGCCAGCCTGGTCTACATACTGAGTTCCAGGCCAGCTGGGGCTACAGGGACCCTGTCTCAAAAAGACTAGAAAAAAAAAATTAATCAATTAGAGATAGGGTTGTACTATGTAACTTTGGGTAATTCCAAGCTCTATTTAGGCTAAGCAATCCTCAAACTTAAATCTTTCTATATCAACATCCAAGGGGCTGGAGAGATGGCTCAGTGGTTAAGAGAATTGGCCACGTATGAGGAAGAACATATGTCGTTTATTTTTCTGAGTCTGTGTTGCTTCACTTAATATAACAGTTTCTAGATCCACCCATTTACCTGCAAATTTCGTTATTTCATCTTTCTTTACTCGTGAAAAGAACTCCATTGTGTAAATATACCACATTTTTGTTAACCACTCGTCAGTTGAAGGACACTTAGGTTGCTTCCATCTCTTAGCTATTGTGAAAAGAGCAGTAACAAACATGGTTGTACAAGTGTCTCTATAATAGGATAAGTCCTTTGGGTATATGCCAAGGAATGGTATAACCAGGTCATATGGTAGGTTCATTAAGAGTTCTCCACACTGTTTTCCATAGAGGCTGCTCGAGTTTGCAATCCCACCAGCAGTGAATGAGCATTCCGCTTTCTCCACATCCTCGCCAGCATTTGGTATCATTTGTTCTCTTGGTCCTAGCCAGTCTGATTGGGGTAAAGTGATACCTTAGGGTGGTTTTAACTTGCGTTTCCCTAATTACTAACAATGGTGAACACTTTTTGAGATGTTTCTTAGCCATCTTAGCCATCTTTATTTTTTCCTTTGAGAAGTCTCTGTTCAGTTCCTTAGCCCATTTTTTTTTTTTGGTCTTTTTGAGACAAGGGTCTCACTGCAACCCCAGCTGGCCTGGAACTCACTATGTAGACCAGGCTGGCCTTGAACTCACAGAGATCTGCCTGCCTCTGCCTCTGAAGTGCTGGGACTACAGGCGTGCACCACCACGCCCGACTCTTAGCCCATCTTTTAATTGGGTTACTTCCTTTCTTGATTCTTTGTCTTTTGAGTTCGTTATATATTCTAGATGTAAAACCTCTGTCAGATGTGTTGCTGGTGAAGATTTTCTCCCATTCTGTACAGGGTTTTCTCTTCACTTCCTTGGTTGCTTCTTTTGCTGTATATCTTTTGATATACAGAAGCTTTTAGTTTAATGAGGTCCCATTTGTTGATTCTTGACCTTGTTTTCTGAGGAGTTGATGTCTGTTTAGAAAATCCTTTCCTACACCTGTATCTTGTAGGGTATTGCCAATGTTTTCTTCTAATAGCTTCAGGGTTTCCAGTTTCACATTGAGGTCTTTGATCCATTTGGAGTTGACTTTTATCAAAGGTGAAAGATAAGGATCTGCTTTCATTCTTCTACAGGTAGAGATCCTGTTTTGCCAGCACCATTTGTTGAAGATGCTGTCTTTCCTCCATTGTGTGTTCTTGGCACTTTTGTCAAATATCAGATGGCTGAAATTGCG